TAAGTACTTTTCACTCTTTCAATATATTTCAGTTATTTTTATATATTTATATATATACTTAGCAATCATTGCAATTATGCCAACTTCATATTAAGTTCTTAGTATGCAGTTCTGAGTTCATGCCACACTGTGACTCTCTGTAAATTAAATTACATTTTCTTTTCTTTTACCTGATAGCTTTCCAGAGCACAGGAGAGAAAGATGGAGAAAGGGAAGAAGCAAGAGTAACAATCTTATTTTTCCAAACTTGCTTCAAATGTATCCATGGTAAAAGGTAACCCCTTGGTGTCTGCAATTGGCAAAGGATCCAAACTGTGTTGTTAGCATCCTAAGGAAACAAGCACTATACCTGCTACAGAATCCACCTTTGTATACTTGGCCAGTCATACTATTTCCACACCAACTTTATTTCTTTGGTTGGCTCTGGTGTTTTTAACAAGACAAACTCTCCAAACTGTAAAGTACTAGTAACTGAATATATTTGTGGGTCTCAAGGAATGGCAAATATTCTTGTCTTCAAACTGCCCAGGCTCCAGCCTCACCAGCTGCAGGAACTTCCCCAAACAATACCTATAAATATTGTACCTAGGGGATTAATAAGGAAAAAATGCTTTCACTCTTAATTCATTTGGTTATTTAAAATCCATGTTCTTCCCACATATGCAAGATTTCCATTTCTTCTGAACTTCCTCCCTACAAATTCTTTCAAATGTTCTACTAGTAAGATAGGAACTTCAGAAATTACAAATCAGGTATGATGAAGATGGATATGATTTTAAATGACACACATTGTAAGTCTCCATAACAATGTTAATTATCCCCACTTGCTTAAACACTAAAAAAATTTAAAAATTTTGAATCTAGAACACCTCTTATAAAAAGAATGTCTCCTACTAAATTGAATTATAATTTTAAATATCAGGCTTATTATAGCTATTCAATGAATTAAAATAAGACTTTAGGTCATAGTATTCTCTACCTTAGGTTTTCTCAATCTCACACAGATGACACTTGGACCAAATAACTCTGTTGTGGGGGCTGTCCTATATAATGAGGACGTTTAGTAGTGTTCCTGGCCTAGTAGCAGTCCCCATCCCAAGAAGTGACTAACAATGTCTCCAGGCATTGCCAACGTCCCCCGGGGGGCAAAATCACCCCCTGAAACTGCTACTCTATCTGGAAAGGATATTTATGTAGACCCACTTTACAGATGAGAAAACTAAAGCCCAGAAAGGCCAAGAAGCAAGTTCAATGCCACAGAGCTGAGTTAGGAGACAAGACAGGGCACCACATGCCATGAGAGCTATTCTCAGGTTCCTTGCATCCCATTACACTGAACTGGTATATATTGGGACTTTGGCTGAAGACAACAATATTTTAACTTAAAATAAATGTTACCAAAAGCATATTTTGGAGAACTCAGTACCCCTTAATCAACAGTATAGTAGGAATGAGAAGCCTGTTAAATGGCATGGCCAACCATGTGACTTTTTCCTATAATTCCATGCAGAATAATTCAACAAATATTTATTAAGCATGTCCTAGGCATCTTAAACAACAGTTAAGAGAAGGCATCCTGCTTCGGTGTGTTAGAAGTGCAGTGAACAGACAGGAAGACAAGTTCACCAGTCACCACAGCATATGTAAATTGCCAAGTTCCATAAGAAAGTTTCCAACAAAGTAATATGGAGGCTCAAAGGGAAGAAAATTCACATTAGCCTGGAAATCAGACATCACAGAGGAAACAGCAATTGACATGGAATTTGCAGGATGAAAAAAGCACTCTAGAAAGACAAAATAACAGAGGTGAGAAATAAGGGAACACTTATTAGGACCCTGAATTGTCTAGTTGCCTGGAACTTAGGGAACATGGAGTAGGCAATGATGCTAGCAAGAAAAACTGGAGGCCATATAAGGGCAGGATTGTGTGCTTCTCTGGACATTTGTTTTTAATTTGTTAATCAATAAGGAATCGTTGAATTTCTAAGCAGATAAATGGTATAAATGAGGGAAATTACTCCACCAAAACTGCATAAAATAAAGAGGAGATGGATTGGAATACCATCACTGACTGTGTTGAAAAGGTGTCTTAGGCAGTTGAAGCTGCTATAATAAAACACCTTAGACTGGGTTATTTATAAATAATAGAAATGTATTGGGGACAATTGTGGAGGCTGGGAAGTCCAAGATCAAGGCACCAGCAGATTCAGTGTTTGGTGAGGGTTGCTCTCTGCTTCAAAGACAGCACCTTGTTGTGGTATCCTCACATGGCAGAAGGGGAGGGGAGCTCCCTTCAACCTCTTTCAACCTCCTATTCATGAGTGCAGAGCCCTCATGTCTTAATCACTTCCCAGAAGGCCCCACCTCTTAAAACCACAGTGGGGATTGGGTTTCAACATGAGTTTTGAAGGGATACAGTAGACCACAGCAGAA